ATCACTTGGTTACGGATGAATGGTGAAGTAAGTGGTGCATCCTGCAAAAGGGCGTGATCAGAGACGGAGCTTTATCCTTTATCATTCAGGCATCGAACAAAGATCGTATCAATCACCAGTGAAGCTTACATCGGATCAAAAGCTTTATACTACGGGACAAGAGAGTCGTAATACGCCGCGCTGGTGGGCGGGGTCAGCGACGCCACTTCCGCGGGACGAGTTGTCCTGCCTGGCCGTTTCGATCCGAACGGTGAAGGGACGGCAGAGATCGATACCATCTGCATGGTGTGTTGCCTGCGCTTGAATTCACATGGGCTTCACTGCTTCAGTAGAGAACTGAAGCCAATCGTTAACAAGTCGTACCGTCGCGCGGTTCGATGTGCGGCGAGCGGCGGCGCGACAAGGTACGATTCTCTTGTCCGTCCCCCACGTGGGAGCACAAAATGGAACTGGTATCACATCATAGTGTGTCATATTGTTAGTAGCACAGCCCAATAAGAATGTGCATCAATGCCTCACTTGTAAGAAGATCAGCGCTGTACATTTCTTTTGAGAAAGTTCAGATAATTGGCCAGATAGCTCTACTGGAGTGTACACGGAAAACGCCAACAATGGTACCATCATTAAATCACACTATTAAATAATGTCAGTTGAACAGTAACGTACAGTACGATGTCGGCCAAGTCAAGTGATGCGAACGTTGCAACAGTTTCAAGCATCCAGTACAGTATAAGTGGTGTCTGAATTGTGCGGTTCATCAACAACTGGTTACTGTACTCTCCTCTTTTACTGCGCTATGAATAAAACTTACTGTGACACTCCGGAACCTTACAGGCTCATCGTCCTCTTGAAAAGAAAGATTGTAAGCGAAATAAAGTGCCGGTATGGAGGTTAACGATTTGAGTATTCTCTGAACATCAGCCATTCGAAGAGCAACAGTTTGATGGATGGGTGAAATGCAATGGAATGAGGCAGCAGCAGCCTGGAGGCGGTTGAAGGCAGTAGAAGGATGAGGGTTAAGAGGTCTGGGTTGCGGCGAGATACCGTGGTGATCCATGCGAACGATTGGCGCGTTTCACGCGGCGCGGTTGGGAGCGTAGCCAGGGCGGCCTTCTTCCAGCAGTGATGCCATCCTGAGTCCGCTTCGACTGGTGGAACATCTTTCCTGGCTGCGCTGCAAGCCACGCAGTCGTCCAGCGCCCGATCGCCTTTGGGGCTAACGACTGTGCGCTGTGAGTATCCTCATTACTTTACTGCACATCAAACCCTGAATGCGGGTGATTGGTAAGCTGAAGAGAGGCTCACTGAGCATATACGCACCTTTGCTAGCATACACTTTACAGTCATGGTTCCTGCAAACGGTAGGGTGTGTGAATGGGCTTGAACTGGAGCAAGGCCAGAACAGCCCTTCCAATTGTTACGGACGCACGCTCAGAATGGCATTTGATAGAAAAAGCCGCTTCAGGCTGCATTTATCAGGCCCCGTCACGCCCTGTCGATTACAGGGATTGACTGTGTGATTCCCAACGATGTAGCTGTACTCAGCTAATAGAAGTCCAGAAGGAGGATGCAAGAAGCTGATCTCATTTAAAGAACCATAGTACGCCCTCATAACACATTGAGGGTGTATGAGACTATCAGCCCCCAGATGTCGATGTGTCGTGGTCCCCCCGCCCAAACATGCCCGGGAATGGAGATACAGGGCCGTGAAACACGCTAATTCTTCCATGCTCCGCCCACTGCCTTTTTACGGCGCAGATTCCCGCCGTTCATAACATCCGTTGCAAGCGCGCCTGTCGCGTGCGGCTCCTTGGCACTTTGCCAAGTCCTTTAATTGCGCTCTCAAATAAAGTAAAACTAGCGATTTCCTGATGCGGATAACATTGGAGGTGCTACAAAATAAGAGCAGAAGACGATGACAAGGGGCAGAACTCAAGAGCAACTCGGCTGCATCTGCAGTATCCATCAAGGGCCGCGCATTCCACAAAACATGAAAATAAAAACAGCCCAAGCGTCCCACTCGTTTGTTCTAAGTATTTCTATGGCTTTGGCGCCGGATCGTAGAAATTTACAGGCCAGTTTATCTAATTTGCCTTTCCTTGATTTTTTTCATTTTTGTTTTGTTTACATTTACATCGTTGTGCTTCATTTCTAGCCTGTGTCATCTTCATCTCCTTGTACATGGATTTTGAAGCATGAGCAACACCTTAAATTTTATTCGCATCAGGAAATTGCGTCTTGCTTGTATTAAACTAACGAGTATGCCGTTTTTAGTTTTTATTTTCATGTTTTTTGTGGGAATGCGCGCCTTGATGGATACTGCAGATGCAGCCGAGTTGCTCTTGAGTTCTGCCCCTTGTCATCATCTTCTGCTCTTATTTTGTAGCACCTCCAATGTTATCCGCATCAGGAAATTGCGTTTTTCCTGTATTTGAGAGCGCAATTAAAGGACTTGGCAAAGTGCCAAGGAGCCGCACGCGACAGGCGCGCTTGCAACGGATGTTATCAACGGCGGGAATCTGCGCCGTAAAAAGGCAGTGGGCGGAGCATGGAAGAATTAGCGTGTTTCACGGCCCTGTATCTCCATTCCCGGGCATGTTTGGGCGGGGACCACGACACATCGACATCTGGGGGGCTGATAGTCTCCATACACCCCATGTGTATGAGCCGTACTAATGTGTCTTTAAGCGCAAGCCTTCGATGCATCTTGTCAAGCTTATTTAAGCGCGAACAGACCTATCCACATCCACTCATGGCACCAACCGCTAACAGGACTCAGCTCATACGAATGACACTTGATAAGGAATTTACTCGGGAGTCTATTTACTGTGGTACCTGATGGGCTCCATTACCATTTTTTTCATTCAGACCGACCAGGCCGCTTCCACAACGCTCGAAACGGTCGTCCATCATTTGCACTGCCGGAAGTGTCACACCATAAAACGCTTGAAATCGCGAAACGCGAATAGGCTCGTGCTGGTGTTCAACCCGAGTTTTCATCAACGATATTTTTGGATGTTAGATTTCGAAAGGATCTACTGACGTGCCGTGGCCACAACTTAAATCGCAACTACCGTAGTGTATAGTACATTGCGCGCCCGATCAGCCAACTAAGACTGCACACACCTCGGTGGATCCTGGTCTTTGCCAACAGAGTGGAGAATAGCTGCAGTGGCATGCCACTTTCTATATTCGAACTGTCCGGGAACGAGGCTGAAGGGTAGTGATAGTGCGGTGCTGACCCCATACACCACCTCGCGCTGTCGTGCAGTTACCAACAAATCTGCGCAGGCGCTGCACTTGAGGGTAACGCGATCGGAGTACGGAGCCAGCACTGAGTATCACTACTGTATAGCCCGTTTTCATGAATATTTGAGCAAAAGACCGTGGCACGTTTCTGTAGCAGAGGACCCATTCAGCTCACCTATGGAGAAGACCGTCTTTGGAGGTTAGTGCAAAGTCCGTCTTTAACTCTCTTGACACCCCATGCGGATGTGATATCCTTGTTGAGGAGGTCTTTTCAGCGAGTTTCGGTGACCTATGGTGCAGGCGCCACACGCTTTCGCGCCAAGCGGATGAGATATCGTGCTCAGAAGTTCAAACACCCTCAATTTCCTGCATGGATCAAGTTTTCACAAGAGCTTCCAAAATGGGACAGGAAAGTGTAAGTGAGGCTTCAAGAAAATACTTTCAATCTATGGTTTGTGCATGATGTCCTTGCTACATCCCTTCAGCCTTATCAGTGCCCGCAGAACTTCAAACCAACCGCTTGGTTCTGAGCTCAGTTGCTACTAATAGTACCTGATAAACCGTTTCTCTGATCCATTATCGCTTGATAAGCCCCATCACGTTTGTTTTCATTTAGACCATTTCCAAACGCTCGAAACGGTCATCCGATCATTTGTGCTGCCGGAAGTGCCAAATCGTAAAGCGATTGAAAAGCGAGCAGCTTCATGCTGGTTTTGACCGCGTGTTCATGAGATGTTTCCGGGCAAATCTTAGTACAACTGTAGGGCAAGTATGGAGTTGGAGTGGTGAAACCAAGCTCCATACGAGGGTACTCCTGTGGTAAAAAGATGAGAAAAGAATCTAAAAGGATCATAATACAAGCTGCCATGTGAAGGCAGTGCTGCCGCTTTTGAACATTTCTGAAGATGTACACTAACCCCATTTGACATATCGATACACTGTATGATAAGCATCGAACAAGCGACAAGCTTGATGACATCCTTCTTTAACAACGGTTCAACACGATGGTCATACTCTTCGTCCATTCGAAGTTGTTCTGGAATGAAGAATCAGCCCACACTGGTAATTACTGCGCTCCTGCACTCCCTAAATGGGCCAAATGGGCTTCACCTACCGTATGTAAACAGAGACTTTCTTGGAGGCATCTGGACAGTGTTCGAATGATGTCTGGAATGAGCCATACCACTCTGCAGTATCACTCCCTTGGAAAACCAACAGCTGTGATAATCTGTATCTTTCCATGTGAACGAGCTAGAAACGTGCACTAGATTCGGAAATTTGTGTAATTCGCTTCGGACGGGTGGGCGTGTCAGTGCGGCTGCGTTTGGCGCGGTGCCAAGCTCATTCTCCACTATTTTTTGAAGTGCGCAAGTGGCAATGATGTATCACATACTTCGTCTTACTCGTTTTCTACCACTTTTGTGACCATGCAACGGCCTCCAACAAGAGGCAGAGCACGCCTAATGTACGGGTGCATACCACGCTCAAACTGGCTG